CCCAGGACAGGCAGCAAGGCCAGACCACAAGAAGAGGTGATGAGGCCATTCTAGGCCCAAAGCAGTTCACAGTAGTCAGCCAAAGGAGGGTAAGGCAAGGTAAGCCCAGGCTAGCTAAAGGTGATTCACAGTGGAAAGCCAAGGGATGGCAAAGAAAGGCCAGGCCAGGCCAAAGTCAATTCACAGTAGCCAGCCAGGGGATGGCAGGGCAAGACAAGGCCAGACCAGGCCAGACAGAGGCAGTTCACATAACCAGCTGAGAAGTGGCCAATCCACTCCAGGCTTGGCCAGCCAGGACAAAAGCAGTTCACAACACCAAATTAAGGGATGGCAAAGTTAGGCCAAGCTAGGTCAGAGGCAGTTCAAAGTAGCCAGTCAAGGGATGGCCTAAAAAGTCCAGGCCAGGCCAGGTCAGCTCAGGTCAGGACATAGGTCAGGTCAAAGGCAATGCACAATAGCCAGAAGAGAGATGGCATATCAGGGCAAGACCAGACCACAAGCAATTCACAATAGCTAGGCCAGGCCAGAACAAAGACAATTCACAATGAAAAACCCAGACCATGCCAGGCCAGGCTGTGCCAGGCCAGGCAAAGACAATTCACAGTACCCATTCAATGACTGGCAATGCAAGGCCAGATCAAGCAAGGCAAAAGGCAATTGATAATAGTCAGCCAAGGTAGTACAAGGCAAGGCCAGGCCAGGCCATGATAGGCCAGGCCAGAGGAAGTTAAATCAGCCAGACAAGGGATGTCAAGGACAGGCCAGGACAGGCTAGCACAAAGGTTATTCATAGTAGCCAGCCAAGGGAGGGCGAGGCGAGGCAAGGCCAGGTCAGACCAGGATAGACCAGTCAGTTCATAAGAGCCAGTGAAGGATGGACACACGACCACTGTTAACTCCACATCATGTAGTTGAAAATGGGAAGTTATAATCCTTGTATGTGTGGTATGTAAAAGTATATCCTACTGTCATGCATAACTAAAAAGAAAAAATACATATGAAAACCAAATCACATTTTTTTCCCCACTAAGAATAATACTACAAAAACTGTAAGATAAAATGGTTACATAGGAAAAGAAAAGTCAAGGGATGACAAAACAAGGTCAGGCCAGGCCAGGCCAAACCAGGCCAAAGGCAATGCACCACAACCAGGTAAGTGATGTCAAGGCCAGTCCAGTGCAGCCAGGCCATCATGGAAGGCAGTTCACAGTAGGGAAGGCAGGGCAAGGCAAGGCGATTCACCATAGCCAAAAACATGGAATTATCCTAATGTCCAACAGTGGACGAATTGATTAAAAAAATGTACATACACTCAGTGACATAGTATTCAGCCTTTAAAACGTTGAAATTCTGTCATCTGCAAAAACCTAGTTGAATCTAGAGAACATTAAGTAAAATAAATCAGGAACAGAAAAGCAAATGCCATATGATTTCAATCACATGTGGAAACTGAAAAATTGATCTCAGAAGTAGAGGAGATTAAGGTTCTTCCCTAGAGGCTGGTCAGGGAAGAGGGTAGGGGAAAGAATGGTGAGAGGTTGGCCAACAGGTACTATGTTAAAGTTAGATAGGAAGAGTAAATCCTGGTGTCCTGTCACCCAGTATGATGCATGTAATTAACAGAGACCTTTTGTAGACTTCAAAACAGCTCCAAGAGAGAAAATCTTTACCACATGCACCTCCAATAAAGCATTAATCTCTAGGATATATAAAGAACTCAAAAAACTTAACACCAAAAAAAAAAGACGCCCCCACAAATAACCCAGTCAACAAATGGGCTAAGGAACTGAACATACAAACACTTCACAGAAGAAGAAATTCAATTGATCAACAAATACATGAAAAAGTGTTCAACATCTCTAGCAATTAGAGAAATGCAAATCAAAACTACTCTAAGATTTCATCTCACTCCTGTCAGAAATGGCAATCATCAAGAATACAAGCAACAATAAATATTGGTGAGGATGTGGTGAAAAAGGTATACTCATACATTGCTGGTAGGACTACAAATTGGTATAATCACTATGGAAAGCAGTATGGAGATTCCTCAGAAAATTGAGAATGGAACCACCATTTGACCCAGCTATCCCACTCCTTGGACTTAAAATCAGCATACTATAGTGATGCAGTCACATCAATGTTTATAGTAGCTTAATTTACAATAGCTAGACTATGGAACCATTCTAGGTGTCCCTCAATAGATGAATGGATAAAGAAAATGTGGTATATATACTCAATGGAATATTACTCAGCTTTAAAATATTAAATTATGGCTTCTTCCAGTAAATGGTTGGAGTTGGAGAATATCATGCTAAGCAAAATAAGCCAATCTCACAAAACCAAAGTCCAAATGTTTTCTCTAATATGCAGATGCTAATTCACAATAAGGTGGGTGGCCTTTGATTAGGCAGAGGGAAGTAATGGGAGGGGAGGGAAGGGGATGTGGGGATAGGAAAGATAGTAAATGAAACAGACATTATTACTTTATGTATATATGTGACTACATGACCAATATGATTCTGCAACGTTGACACTCAGAAAAATGAGAAAGTATTACCCGCCACCCCCCCCAAAAAAAACAGCTCTAAGAGAGGATTTGATGATTTCCTACAAAGTGCTGATACATGTTTCAGGTGATAAATTATGCTGTGTAACCTGATTTGATAACTGTACAATGTATATGTGAATTTAAAACATCTCATTGTACCCCCTAAATTTGTAAAAACGTTATGTGTCAGCTATCCTTTTCCTAGGGGAGGCATGACCTCTGTTCTCACAGGGCTTCAAGTCTAGCAAACAAAGTGTTCACTCTGCACCTTACACACAAATACATTAGCACTCAGAAGTGTATTCATTGTGTTGAAAGGAAGGGACAGGGAGCCGTAAGGTATAGAAGCCACACATCCTGATGTGTACTCAATAGAGTAAGACTTAATGTCAATATTACTTTCTGTTATCCTATGACCTTTTTGTAAACTTTCCTGTGTGTTCACTTGTCAGTCAACTCATTGTGGCTGAGGAGACTGTACCTTATTTTGGGACCTGTGCCACAAGGCAATATGTTGTGTACCACACATTGAGTGAGGCAATTCAATTCTGCTACCAAGTACAGACAATTCCTGATTTACAATGATCTGACTGATTTTTGAATTTATGATGGTATGATAGCATACCAATCATCACAGTCATTCTGTTTTCCACTTTTTGGTTCATTATTCCATAAATTACATGAAATATCCAATACTTCACAGAAAATAGGTTTAGTGTTAGATGATTCTGCCCAACAGTAGGCTTAATGTAAGTGGTCTGAGTACTTTTTTTTGGGGGGGGGGTACTGGGGATTGAACTCAGCTCTCATGCATGCTAAGCAAGCACCCTACTACTGAGCTACCTCCTCAGACCTTATTTAAAATTTTATTTTGAGAAAAGCTTTGCTGCTTCAGAGGGCCAGATATTAAGCACAGTCTACTGCCCATCTCATGCAGTGGGTCAGAAAAATCCACATCTGTGTATAACAGGGTGCACCCTGCAGAAGAGTAAAATGAAGGTACTGTGGAAAGTCCATTAATAACTCATCCATAAATAATGATTCCAGGTTATTCAGTGCCCCATGTTTAAGAAAAAATACTAAAAGTGCTATGTCATAATCTTATTTCATGTGTGCAAATTTAAATTTATTAAGTCAATCATTGGTGGTAAAACTACAGAAGGGAAGATCTATTTAAAGCTTAAAGTTTGGTTTACTTGTAATGGTAAACAATATCTAAAGCTAATTCTTGGTCATTCAGCTGATTATTGAATGTTAGTTGAAATATATCTCTTCCTGAAACAGTAGCATCAGATTAAAAAAATAATGCAATTTTTTGGAAGGATTTTTAGGTTAACATACAAATTAAATAGATAGTACAGAAAGTTCTCACATTCCCCCCTCATGGCCCAATTTATTTTTTAATTTATATCAGTACACTAATATTTTTCTTTAGGAAAAACCCTTAAATGACTTCAACTGATTGTTCTAATTGTATCCAACTTAATGACTCTTTTTCCGCTAGCTCTTTGTCTCCCATATAAAGTAATACACCTTCTGTTTGGACCTTCTATTTATGTAGTATAGAGTTGCAATAGTGTAACAACAGAGTTGTTGAATGTGCACATTGATATTAATGGTGCCAACAGTATCTTTCCTGTGTTCTGAGAGAGTCCCTACCACAAAGGTACTGAGAGTTAGTCTACATTGGCCCAGTATCCTGCCAAGGTAAGGTTGCCTTTCTTTGCCTGAGATAGAGAGGTCATTTTTAAGTTTTGTTCTTTTTCAGTCTGCTTGAGATATGAAAATCTGGCCATGAATGTCATAGATTACCTAAACATTTTCCTTTATGTAAGATTGTCAACTTATTGTCAACAATAAGTCTTTATTCAACTGACCTCATTCAAGATGGCATTCTTAAAAGGCACAATCAGCTACAGACTATGTAGCCCTGGGAATTTTCTCTGTAGAAATTTCCTGGTTTCTAAAGAATTGGGTATGTGGCATCCAAACTGGGCTTGGAAAATTTTTCATACAAAGCCTGTGAATTTTCTGCAAGTGCCTTTTATGCTTTATTTTGGGGCTATTGCCTGGAGCACTGTTTACCATCTGGTTTTCTCGTGTGACCATTTTGAACAAAACATTGTATGTATTATATGAAATATCACATTTATTCTAATTTTCTCTCCCTCCAATTCATTGAGGGGAAGTTGACAAAAAAATTGTTGTATATTAACATGCTTATTGTTACATGACCTTTCTTGTAGTTGTATTGTAGTGGCACCCCCTCCTCCACAGAAAATCTTAACTAAGCTGCTCCAGAAATCTTCACCATAATTGATTTTAGGACTATCAGCAAAAGAGTCTCTACAAAAGAGTTCAATGTAGGTAAACTTCCTATTTTCCTGTTGCTCTATTTTACCTGGCTGGTGGCCTGGGAGAAATCAGCACTCCAGGTGCTAAACCCCACTTTACTAGTTTTTCAAAAACATTTATCCAGTATAGTAGTTTGTAAAAGTGTGTTTAAAAATGCAAAATGTGATAATGAAAAGACAAATTCTTTAACAAGTCCTCTGGCCTTAAGCTGTAGCTTCACAAAGATGTCTCCATTTCAAAGATAAGAGAAGTTACCAATTGGGCTTCATGGTAATAGCTGGCAGAGGGAAGAAAGAAAGGGGAAGAGAAGCTTTCCCCTTCTCAAGGATGGTCCTTGAAGAGTTAACTTGCCCAAAGCAGTCAAAGAAAAAGCTGCTTTTATTTGAACTTCTGCTGACTGTGAACTTCAAAGTTCTGAAACTACCTGAACTTGGGACTCAGGAGATTAATTGATTACAGTGAAAGCTGTGCCCTCAGAACTTGGCTGCAGCCAAATAAAACTGTTTTCTTCTATTTTTGGTGCCTTGCCTCATCTGTCCCCTACAACAATATAAGCATGCTTGTATGTATAGCAGCTATTGGACCCCATAGTCTAGATTGTGCATTCACTGAAAACTCTATGACTCTAGGTCTCCATGGTTATGTGATTATGTGTTTGTTTTCCTCAGTTCTAAATTCTATCTGTGCTGACTTATAACAGGTGGAAAACTACTTTCTTTCATTTCCATAGTGCTTAGCTATGGGGAACTTGAATTGTTGCGGAAAAGGTATGTTAGTATTAGCCATTGAATGATCTCCCTTCAAATGGACTATTTAATTATTCTCAAAATATTTAATATAAATGTGTTTCCTTTCTGTTATGCTATATTTATTAGTTCTTCATTGTTATATTTTATTCCTGAATTTATAGTTTAGATTCTTATGTAAAGCACTTTGCTTTTAAACATTTCCTCAATTATATGCACTCATTAAGTTCCCCCTAATTAGGTATACAGGCATTCTCTGAGGTCAATATGACAAAAAATTTTTGTAATGCAGGTCTCAGTGTAATTGGATATATATATATATATACAGTTATAAATTTCAGAAATTTAGAATGAATTTGAATGGTGGGTTGTTTTGAGGGATCCCACACTGTGAGGTAGGTCTTTGTTTTTAACATGCAGTCCCTGTCTTCTTTTTTCCCAAAAGGTTTATTTTATTTAGTTTATAGGAGATATGTCCTTTCCATTTAGGTAATACATCCTGAGAATGAGCACCGATTTGTGTCAGTGAACTAAACACATATTCAATTTTATGTTTTGTGGGTTATCCAGTATACCAGAGATATTAATTATAGGTAATTTCTCAGCCCTTTTACTTTATAAAGCTCAGCATACAGCAACTTTCCCACAGGTGAGCAGTCAGCATTTCAGTACACAAAAGTAAAACAATAATGTAAATGGGTAAAACATAGTAATTTGCTCTCAGAAGTACACAAGGTAGATACATGTGATGACCAATATGAATTATATAGACTTAATTGTTTATATCTACATATACAGCTATAGCTTTCAAAAGATATGTTGAATGTTAATGCTCTTGTTATACATTATGATAAGTCTCCTGTGACTTGACCCCTATCTAAATTTAGTGGCATTTATATTTATAGGAATAAATAACATACAATGGTATTTTTATTTTTCACAGGGTTAGGGTGATAGGGTTTTTTTTGGTACTGGGAATTTAACACAGAGGTACTCTATGACTGAGATACACCTTCATCCCTTTTTATTTTATTTTTTAAATTTTTAGACAGAATCTCATTAATTTGATGAGGCCAGCCTCATTTCTGATGCTCCTGCCTCAGCCTCTTGAGTTTCTGGGATTTATAGGCTTGTGCCATTGGACTGAGAAAGATAATAAACATTTTAATGAATGCTGCTGCTCCACCTAGTCTAGTGTCCGATAAGAACAGAATGGTCAGGAATATTCTAGAATGTAATGGAGAACAATGCTGCCTTTCTGTGGAACAAACACAGAGGGTTCACTTAGGGAGAAAAGGGCAGCATGTTAAAAAAATTTTCTTTGATTATTGAAAACCTAAGTCTGGGTGAAATCTTAATGTCTGCTTTCAGGCTAAGCAGGCACATATTACAGAAAGAACAATGGCCTACAAATTTGGAATTTAGCGTTTTAATGAGTGTCTGAGTCATATTAAGCTGTGAACATTTCCACAACAATTAACCTTCTGAGAATTTAGACTGAATACACTACATCCATTAAATTATCCAACCCTTATCTCAGATGTATGTCCTGCTTTATTAACTATCTCCATTCTCCGGGGCAGAAGAGGAGACACAGAAGTGAATATACCCAAGTCCATGTTCTCCTAAGCCAAAGAACCAAACTGAGAACCCAGTTGTGTGGCTCCCAGTTCTTTTTTTTCCTATTTAATGGGAACATTTTTTTATTATTTTTAATCTTTCAAGCAACAGGTTATGCAGAAAAGAAATTGAAGAAACAGGAGACAATATTTATTGCATTCTAAGACACCATCCTTAATGCTTTAAATATCTAATTTAATTTTAAACATTCTAACAATACAAGATATGAATTATGGGGGAACTGTGTTTCTGACAAAAACATTGATTCAGGGAGATTTTGTACCAAACGCATACGTTGAATAAGTGGAACTTGGATTTGAACACACTTATGTTTGATTTTGAGTCCATTCTTGTTAGTATAATGCTAATAACGTGTCTATACCATTCCACTATTAAGCATCTGTTAAACACTACGTTCCAGGCGAAGTGCTTAATGCTGAAGATGCCCAAGGGCAACAAGATGATGTTCCTGCGGCTGACGCAGTGAATGGTAAGGCCAATGGTATCTCTGTATTATGTTATATAAAGGCCTGACTGCCCTGCTATGCTTTCCACCAGCTTAATGCTTCGACCCACAAAAGTCCAGCCCATTTTAATTATGGCTACTAATATTGTCAAAATGGATGAAACAGATCTTTATGAAGTGTAAGAGAGCAGTTGTTTTTTTACATCCAATACTTAATAGCAAGGCAATATGTTAGAGTGGCTTAGATCTCCTGTTTTGGAATTAAAAGGATTTGGTGTGGCTCCCAATTTGGATGCTTTAAAATACTCACCTGTGCTCACTACTCAGCTGTGAGATCATTAGTTACTATTCAAGGGACTTAAGTCCTTTCTAGACATTCATGTGTATGCATGTCTAGAAATATCCAGACCTATAGAAATCCCACACATTATCCCACATTATACAGTAATGTCAAGGTCACATACAACATGGCAGGTATTAATGCAGTAATATTACGCGTTTCATCATGGTCATTATGTGGAAAGCACATAGAAAGCCCCAGTACTTTCAGTCAACAGAGTCTGAGTTAGGACACACTATTTGACATAACCTATTATTTGACATAACTCCATTAGTTCTGGGTCACTCCTCAGCACCACTTGTAAAGCTGATAAAAAGTAGGGAGATCTTTTAGGGATATTTGGTGCCATTATTAAGGGTGAACCTTAGAAGTGCTGAAGCTCTGGCTCCAAACCTGGGGACAGTAACAGGTTGTCCTGGAGTATTACCCTTTTTGCCACTCTCTTGCAGAGCTGGGTTTGAGAGCCTTAGTGTTCCATGGGGCTCATCCCCATTAAGCCTTATGGCGCTATTGGATGGCTGGTGTGGAAATAAAATATCCTCCTCACACAATGTACTCAAGCACATGGCATAGACAGGGAAGTCTGGAAGGTAAAAAGCATGATTTCTGGTGGTTATTTTAAAAATGTAATAATGTCACTCGGTAATATTTTCCACTCTTTAAGAATGTATTCCTTTAAAGGATAAATAAACGAATATGGCTATATCTTGGACATGATGTAAAATCCATTTCTCTAATAAGATATGTCCGATTATCAAGGGGAGAATGCTGTAATGAAGGATAAATGCAGATCAGCCTATGTGAACCTCTGGGGTTAATGTAGACTTGCTAGATGTCAAGAAAGTCGTGACAATTGTATCGGGCTTCCATATAGTCAGAAGCAGTGGTAGGAATCTGTCGTTTAATCATCAGATTAATTTTAATGTTTATCCATTTGAGGATGATTTGTTTCATATTGTTTTAGGTTGCCATTATCTGGAAAGTCAGACTCTATTTCTCATTCGCTTCCTGCTACTCTCTCTTTGTCTTCATTTTTCCACCAAGGAAATCAATTATATCCATTGAGTCTAGTCCTTTGTACATATTAATCAAAATTCCCTAAGTAGTTAATGATCAGCACCACAAATGACCTAACAGTTACTCTCTGTTCTTTTAGACTTCCCAGTGGATGAGCATCCCAAGAGGAAAGCGACTGCATATATTCGAGTAAGATAGTCTTTCTTTACCAGAGACAGAAATATTACTTTTGTGGTTTCTTTAATTATTTAAAATCAAAATCAGATTGTCCTTTGTAACACTTGTTAAAATGGTTTACTTAGGAGGAAGGGGGGCAGAGGAGGAGAAGCAGTCTTAAGAACTAATCCATGATTCAGGAAGGCATACAAAATTGGCAGTGTCAGATTGCACACTATATGCTAGGGGAAATTTCTTTCTGAAACGAGTCTTTCTTTTTGTTTAAGAGTTTTGTAATTTTCACTCAGAAGTTGACTTGATAGATATATCATCCATGAAAAGTTTGTTGTTTTTCATGTGTCCTCTGCTCTTGATTGTGAGGACTTCTGAGGCTTAGATGTGGTTTGAGTGGGTTCCCTGAAGATTCAGGTGATGCAAACTTCATATACAGGTGTTGAGGTGGTAGAACAATTCAGACTAGCTTTCCAGAATGATAATCCTGAAAGATGAATTAGTTATCACAATAAAGTTTTTTTTTTTAAAGCAAAGCCACCTAACACTCTCAGGCCCCTTTTTAAGTGGCTGATTCCCTTTTGGGTCATCTGCCATGTTGCAATGGAGTCAACTAAATTGGGCTGCCCGATACTGGACTTGACATCAACAAGACTGAGAAATAAATAAAACTTCTTTTTAAACTACAAAAGTGATAGAACAGACTAACAGTACATAACAGACTAATTCAGGACCTTTGACTTTATCACTCTTTTTCTGTACACTCTTTTTAGTGTACTTTCTTTATTTAGATTCCCTAGTAGAACCAAAGATTTATGCAAACAGAATTCATCATGATGTGGGCCTCAGAGCATTTTCTTTTCTCTTATGCAGGCAGCCTCAAAAAAGTGGAGAAATGGTATGTATTCTGCAATCACTCTCTGTCCGAAGACATAAGTCAGATCAGAAATGCACAAATACTGACTGGCTTTTGTCAGGAGCACACTTCCGTGATCTGAACCACCTGGTAGGAATGAGAATTTGAAGTTTCATAAAAGGAAGCAACTTTCCATGAACAAACACCCTAGCCATGTGTCTGGAGTCCCTGGAATCAGTTTTGTTCCCTTTAGATGGCATGGGTTTGTGTGCATCAAGATTTGTCTCTGTATTTCCCCTTGACAAACACCCCAATTGCCCAACACAATCACCAGTGGCAAATTTCTCAACTAAAAGATCAAGAGTACATACTTTACCCCGTGAACTAGTTCAAACCTCATTACAGTTCTGTGTGGAAGATTTGATTTGTTCACTGTACCCCTCTACAGATGAATACACCAAGGAACAGAGATAAATGATTAAGCTCACTAGCTACTAAGTGGAAGAGGCAAGATGTATACTCAGACATACTGTCACTATGGCCGGGTGACAGTATTTCAAAGATGGTGCTTTAGACTAGAACCTCAAATCATCCCTCTGTCAAGGATCACTACTCATTTATGCTAGAGGATTGTAAATAATCCATCACGTGATTGCCTCAATGGTCACAATCCCAAGATAGCATCTATGTATCTGTCTGCAGACATTAGCATAAGCACCAGTGTGAAAAGAGAGAAAAAGCTCACACTTTTCTGGTCAGATCATAGAATCTGAAGATGGTAGTCATGATGTAGGGCAATGTGTTGGATATATGCCATAGTTGGGTCGCTCCTAAAAGCATTACTCAAGTTCTAGTAAGAACTGGTGAAATGTTTTAGTGTACTGGACAGCGTTACCATCATGAGCCCAAAGAGCTACCTAGGAAAAGCGTCTAATAAGAACTCAAATTATCACTTGTTTATTAGCCAGGTTTCATCATTCTTGTTACACCAGCTTTTGAAAAGTGCATTAGAGATTCTGTGCTCAGAGAGTGCTTCCCTATCATCAGTAGAGTATCTCCATATTGGTTGGTAAGTGCAAGCATAGGGAGCCAGTACACTAGATGAATTTATACATATATTAAAGAAAAGTATAGCCAGGTGTCAGTATTTCTAAAATGTCCATAATGGTCAGGTTTTTAGCTATGGAGGGGTTTTCTTAAAAGGTGATAGATCTGTGTTAACTACCTCTGCAGTGTTTGTGGCTGGAAGAGAGATGTTCATGGAATAGAAACTGTACTCTCAAGGAAGGGATGAGCAGAGAAAGGTACACTTTCAGTACTACTGTGGACACTGCCTTTCCTTAGCCAGACTTAGTCCAGGCTGCACAAATTACTTGATATGAGATCAGTGATCACTAAGAAAGTGGTGGTTACAGACACAGTTATTAACCATTCAAAACTCCAGTGAAAATGGCTGTATTTCCAGATAGTTCACATGACATCTCCCCAAGGATTTGTCAGTCGAAGGGAGATTTATGCTTTGTAGAACCATCACATGACAATGGATTTGGAATAGTGTGGATTGAATCGTGTCAAAAGATCAGCAGAGACTGGTCTCAGTGAAGACACCAGGTCATTAGAAGGACTTAGGGACTGAGAGGCAGCTGACAGCGTGAAGACAGTGGTGAAGGTCACACAGTTGCAATGCCTACAGTACCTTGGAGGACTTTCTTAGGAGGAAACTCTCAGAGAGTGAAAGAGGAAAAGAAGTTGCTTGTGATTTGGAATCTGCTCTTACCTCAAGCATCTCAGAATCAATTTTGTCCTCTCACAAAACCTTGAAGTGTGAAGATTCCAGAGAGTGAGGAGAGTTCTTAGAACACAGGGCTTGATTTAGAGGTCTCAGTTGTTTGGGAATTTCTGTTTCCAGGGAACCAGATGTATTTGTTGTCCCAGATTCATCTTTCAGCAGTGTTATAATTCTGCAAATAACTTAACATCTATAAATATTAATACCTTCAAATTAAAAATTGGATATATAGCACCTGATCTTCCCATCCCTCTGGAGATGATATCACTTAACCTTCATGTGTACATAAAGAATGAAGAGTAAATATCCACCCATACACCTTCTCTGGACTCAACCTCTGCCATCCACCTTATTCCTTCTGGCATTCAATGAACATTATAAAGTACTTCTGAAGTATGGGTCCTTTTTCTTGAGGTTTTACCTTCACTCAGTTATTTTTAGTCTTATAATGCATATATGCAGGCCATATGGAAAATTTCATCCATAGAGCAAAGAACTGAGAACAGGGATTTCATGATCTTCTGCAAGGTCCATGTGGGCATAGGTTATCAGGCACCAGCCCTCAAACTCTCAGTCACTCTACTTTTCTGAGGTCTTATATTGTTGTAAATACATAAAGACATTGCCCTCACAATCCATATGGTATGTGTGTTAAGTGCACATTGAACTCCATGGTCTTCTGGAAGCTCCTGTCTGACTCAGGTGGCTCTGCTTGAAAGCCAGTAAATTAAGGAACCAAAAGTTTAAATGCAGAATGGGTTGTTAGTAATTTTGTGCTCTGATGCTCATATATCTCTTTCCGTATTATGAATGCATTTCTCAGTACGTTCTGCAGTGAAGCGCTTGAGGAAGAATTGCATCCAGCCTGAGGCAGACATGGCTATTTCTCCCCAGGATATGGAACAAGAATTTGACTCAGCTGAAGGTATGGTGGAAATTCAACAATTAGGTTGAATCAGGAATAATAGCTGTAGATTATTCGTTGTCCCTTATGTAAGAGAAAACTCTGAAGAGGTTCAACAGTATTTTCTTAATACGTGAAAATTTTAATTTATGGAGTCAATCAGCAGTGTCCCAATTACAACATTTAAAAATGCATTTAGATATCAAGCAGGGTTATCATAGAAATACAGACAGTATGTTTAGCTAGTATCTAGATGGCACCATATCCTTGAAATTTAGCAAATGAGATTTTCCCCATGAAAATATTATACCAGATTATTTATTTGAAATTATTATACTTCTTTAATATAGAAGAGATTTGAGTTTTATAAAAATATTGACTAAATTAATACATAAAGTTCCCAAGCATACCTCTTCTCATACAAGTGCCACATCATTGTCCCCATTAATAGCATCTTTCATTAATTTTTGATACATTTGCTCATCAACAAAAGTTACTAGATTATTTGTATGCTAATTGTTTTCACTCATTTATCTTCTTTTTTAAATTGGTTCTTTTTATTATACATGATAGTAGAATCCATTTTGACATAAAAAAGCATGGACTATATCTTGTTTTTATTCAGTCTACAGTACCTCTTCTACCCCTTCCCTCCCCTCATCACTGACTCTCTTCACCCAATCGATCTTTCTACAATTTACCCATAGTTTTTTTGATCTTTCTACCATTTACTCATAGTTTTTTAAGTTAATTTCTTGTGGATGTACACAATGGTACATTCACTGTGGTATGTTCATTTGTATACATAGGAAAATTATGTACAGATTCATTCCACTGTCTTTCCTCTCCCCATCGCACTCCCCTTCCTTCATCCTCCTTTGTCTGATCCACTAAATTTCAGGTTTCCCCTGCTTCCTTTATTGTGAGTTAGCTCCCACATATCAGAGAAAACATTCGACCTTTGGTTTTTTTTTTTTTTGGAAGTGGCTTATTTTACTTAACATGATATTCTCCAGATCCATCCATACACTGGCACATGCCATAAAGTCATTCTTTAATTTGATGCCATCCCATTTATTATGACTAATATTCCATTGTGTATATATATATATGCCATTTTTTTTGGTCCATTCATTTGTTGAAGGGCCCCTTGGTTGTTGACTCCATAGCTTAGGTATTGTGCATTGTGTTGCTATAAATATTGATGTGGCTGCGTCACTGTAGTATGATGATTTTTTAAAATTCTTTGGATATATACAAAGGAGTGGGACAACTAGGTCAAATGGTGGTTCCATCCTTAGTTTTTTGCTGAATCTCTATACTGCTTTCAGAGTGGTTGCACCAATTTGCAGTCCCACCAACAATGTATGAGTATACCTTTTCCTCACATACTAGCCAACATTTGTTGTTACTTGTATTCTTGATGATTGCCATTCTGACTAGAGTGAGATGGAATCTCAATTTAGTTTTAATTTGCATTTCTCTAATTGATAGTGATATTGAACATTTTTATCATACAATTGTTGACTATATTTCCTCTTCTGTGAAGTGTCTGTTCAGTTCCTTTGCCCATTTACTGATTGAATTATTTGTATTTTTGTTAAGATTTTGAGTTCATTGTATATCCTGGATATTAATGCTCGTCTGAAGAGCAGGTGTCAAGATCTCTCCCATTCTATAGGTTCTCTCTTCACACTCTTGATTATTTCCTTTAATATAAGAAGTTTTTAAATTTGATGCCATCCCATTTATTACTTTTTGATTTTATTTCTTGTGTTTTAAGAGTCTTATTGAGGAAGTTGGTTCCCAAGCAGATGTGTTGGAGTGTTGGGCCTACATTTTCTTCTAGTATTTGCAGAGTTTCTGGTCTAATTTCTAATTTTTCTTCTGGGTCTTTGATCCATTTTGAGGTCAGATTTGTATAGGATGAGAGATAGGGGTTAAATTTCATTCTATTGTATATGGATTTCCAGTTTTGCCAGGACCATTTTTTGAAGAGGCTATCTTTTTTTAATGTATATTTTTTCCACCTTTGTCAAGTATGAGATAACTATCTTTATGTGGTTTGTCTCTGTGTCTTCTATTCTATTCCAATGGTCTTCATGTTTATTTTGGTGGACTAAGATAGGGTCTATTTTGGAGAAGGATCCATGTGCTGCCGAAAAGAACGTATATTCAGTCATTGATGGATGAAATAGTCTATAATTATAATCTGTTAAGTCTAAATTATTAATTGTATTTTTAGTTCTATAGCTTCTTTATTTAGTTATTGTTTGGAGGATCTGTCCAGTGGTGATAGAGTCTTGTTAAAAATCACCCAGTATTATGTGTTGTGGTCTCTTTGATTCTTGAAATTGAGAAGGATTTGTTTGATGTACATAGATGTGCCCTTGTTTGGGGCATAAATATTTACGATCATTGTTTCTTCTTGTTGTATGATTCTTTTAAGCAGTATGAAATGACAATCTTTGTCTCTTCTGATTAATTTTTGACTTGAAGTCCACTTTATCTGACATGAGAATAGAAACTACTGCTTGTTCACAAGATCCATGTAAATGGTGTGTTTTTTTCCTGTCCTTTCACCTTTGGTCTATATATATATATATATA